TTTTCTTTCAGTAAAAATTGGTAAGCATATTTTTGTGTCAAATGGGACAATAAGAATAGAAATTTAAAAATAAAACCTTTTTAAAGAATCATTGTTAAATCAGTGCATCTCTCTATTCTCAGCAAAGGAACTTCTTACAGCAGTGATTCACACAGAAACCCAGTATCACAACCTTGAAAAACCTGACTGCCCATCTCCAGCAGTTATCAATTGCTAATAGTTCCTCAGACATGGCTAGGTTTATTAGCCACCTCCCCTCCATGCTGAGTTTTCTCTGGCAAGATCTTGTGCATGCTACCACAGGAATGATGGGTTCATATATCCAACTGCCCTGTGATCTCTGAGACTTGGGAAGAGGGTGGGATGTTTGTGCTCCACTCAGGGCTAAGCATTCTGCAGTATCTTATTCACTACATGTTGACCAGCCCTGTCAGAGGAACTATGAGTAATTGATAGGGTAGACTGAGCAGGCTCCAGGGTATGGAGCTACATCCAACAGCGTTTGAGGAATACAAGATAGGGTTTAAAAAATGATACAGTACATGAAATGGTGGGGGGGTGGGGTGGAATGGCAATGTAGGGAGATAGGGTGGATCTGAGAGGAAATGGGGGGAGGAGGTCTGAATAGGATCAAATCAGTGTATGTAATTTTCCAAGAATCGATAAAAATATATTTATTTTTAAAAAGCACTTTGTGGATAAACTCACACAGAGGAACCTCTGGAGACAGAAACTTGAAATGATAGGCACTCACCTATATGACTTCAAATGTGGTGGGGAGGAGTGTGGGGGCATGCAGATGGGGAAGGGAGCCTACATATCATTAAGATGTATAGTAAGAAATGCACAAAAATTCAATAAAAATCAGAAAAACAATCACTGGATGAAAAGGGGACAGAAAGTGATTGGATTTGAAAGATGGTCCATCAGTGAGCAGCAGGGACTGTTCTTACCGAGGACCCAGGTTTGGTTCCCAGTATCAACACGGCAGCTAACAATTTCCTTAACTCCACTTACAGTGGGTCCCCTGCCCTCTCTGGCCTGCACTGTCATTGCACACACAGGTGTGTGCAATTACATATACAGTTAAATATTTACTCTGGGCGTGGTGGCACACGCCTTTAATCCCAGCACTTGGGAGGCAGATAAAATAAAAATATTTTATTTTTAAAAAACTTTAAAAAAGAAAATGATACCACAGTAATGACAGTGTAGTTCAGTATTCATAAAGGTTTTCAGGTCAAATGTTTAGTTAAATCAATATTTCTAGTTAAAATTATAAGAACTACAAATTAAAGTACATCTTTTCATTCCAAAATGCTAATTTAACATGAGCATTAATGCAAAGAGATGAAAGAAGAAAACATCATAAATGTGTAGGTAAAAGTACGACACCCTGAGCATGCTTCAGCAGAGCTTTGTGAAGGCAGAAATCATGAAATGTCTTAAAATATTTTTGGCATTTGCAGTGCAAAATTATATTTATTTTAAATGAATGTATTACTTTTCTTCCTTATAAAGGTTTTTATTTTGGTCACTCATCTCAATAAGAAACATTCCCCCTGAAGGCATACATTATGAACATGGTTGGGGCTTGAGAGAGGGTGCAGTGGTTAAGAACACTGCCTGCCCTTGCAGAAGACCCAGGCTCGAATCCCAGCACCCACATGGCAGCTAAGAACTGTCCATAACTCTAGTTCCAAGGGATCTGGCAGCCTATTCTGAACTCCGTGGGCGTTGCACAACACAGTTGCACTTATATACATGTAGGCGATACATGCATACACATAAAATAAAAATAATAAATAAAATATTTAAAAAAGAAAATGAATGCATTTCAATTTATCTTTGAAAAAGTAAAAAAAAATAGTGCTAATTGTAAAGAAAATAGTAGCTTGAAAATTTTAGAATTACTAAATTTTCTGAACTTTTTGGTTTGAAGTTTTCTAACATTTCTATGATAACATCTCAATTTCACTGTCAAATAAGTTAACATGGCAGCAGCAAGCTTAAAAAGATCCAATATATAATTTCTTTGAATTTTTTGTGATTTTCATACATCTTAAACATGTTAAGACCCCAAATGTTAGTTTTCAGCATAGTATCTTGACTTACATCTGATCCTGAGGTGAGTTGCAACATAAATAAACATAAAGATTATGAAAAAAGACCCATTGAGGGTCTTTAAATCTAGATTATATCATGGTAGTTAAAAGAAAAATTATATTGCACAGGTGATCACCACTGGATGAGGTGAGTCAGTCTTCTTTTAGGAGGTGACCCTAGATAGGCTGACCAGGCTCCATGGGTGAACTCCTACCAAGGAGCATCTGGGTACACAAGCTTTACTCGATATACGGCAGAATGTATGAGATCCTGTGGATGGGCTATGGGGGTGCAGATATGGGCAGGGTTTAAATATGGTTAAGATCTGCCCAAATTTCAATAACATATACATTAAAAAAGAAAACATAAGAGCATCTATTTTCTTTTCTGTGGAATTCAACTATTGCAGTAGGCCAAATGTTTTGAATGACATAGCTCATTACAACTAATGGAATAAATGCTGTATGTGACCTCATTCAAGGCCAATAAACTGTTGACAGGTTGAGTGCCTAAGAAAAAGGACTCTGAACTAATTACTTTCTATCTTCTGTCTTGCTTTCCACATTCCCACACAATGTTCAAAGCCCAGCATAATTTACTTCATTTCCCCAACATGGGAAATTAGAAAATAACAACAGATAAGAATGACAAATATGTTCTTTTCTAATTATTGGAGATACAGTGTACAAAGGCAATTTTATGAAACATCGTATTCAAATGACTTTGGGGTTATTTCATTTCCATTGTTTATACTGGATGTTAGTAAGTCTACACTTTTCCCAAGAGAAGGAATGCAGTTTTGGTTGATGTAAGTTCATTTACGCTTATGTATATTGTTCTGTCCTCAATCCTAAATATTGCATTTAATTTTTAATAAACAATGATAAAAACAGTAAAATTTTTATTTTCTTGCAGTAGAATTTTAATATCTTATCTTTGGATTCTTTTTCTAAAAGTTAAAATTGACAAATGTTATTCTATGTGTAAGAATTTCCAGTGACAACTTATTGACACATTTCTATTGTCAAAGTCCTCAAATTATGTTATTAATTTCTCTCTGGAAATTGTTACATTCATTCAGATAAAATAAGTGCTTATAAACTAGCACTAGAGAAAAATCCCTAATCAGCAGCTTTCTATGTAATAAATCAATATCATCCACAGTTATCACCCCTGCCCAAGTTGTAAATCCTGTTCTGCATTTTGGTGTGATAGTTTTGCAGTGAGAACCACTCAGTTATCACTTAGTTCCAGTAAGTGTGATGGCCCTTCTGCAGTCCCAGTCTTTATTGACTTCTGAAACCCAAGTATACCAAGAACATAAACACCTCAAGCATTTTGCAAAAATGTTTCTTTTCACTTTACAATTTTTGTAAGAACTTAAATTAGCAAATAAACTTGATTAAATAAAAGGGCAAACTATATGTTTCAATCAGCAGTTAAAATTTATTTTATCAACAACTGAGTGTATTACATGATGTTTTTCTCTTAATATTACTTTATCATAATACTGCTAAAAGATTTAGCTGCAATTGCTTATTCATCTCAAATTTTTATGGACATCACTATGAAAATTTTGACTTGACCTTCAAATGCATCTGTCATTCAAATGTCCATAACAAATAAGGAGAAGTTCCTGAATAATTATTTAATGTTTTTTAATACTTTAATATTTCCCTTAATATATCTTTACCTGCTTGCTTGAAAAAATAACGATTTACAACTGTATTTGCTATTTACATATAAATGGTAAATAGTCTTTCAATTCCTGCTAGATGGGTTTTTCTCCAACTTGCTGTGTCTGTGAATGTCTACAACTTGCAGATCATCAAATACCATGCAGTATATTAGCATCAGTAATATAGTGCTCAGACCACATAAATATTGAACTTTGGTGATCCCGCACCTGCCTCCCAGCATGTAGTGATAGGTTAGCACTAAAAATGCCCCAGCATTATACAAACTGCTTACAACCAAAGACACACATATCCAAGGAAAATGGAGTTTAAAAAATACTGTTTTTCTCTTCTCTACCTTGAAGCAAACCTTCATTAGCATGCTTTGTTCACTTAAATAATGGGGACTAAGGAAGTCACTAAAAAAGAATTCGGGGAATCATAGTCTGAAATCAAGAAATGTACTTGAAAACACCTTACCGCTATGCGCCAGTGAAGAAGCACAAAGACCGTTACATAGCATATATAAAAATACTAGGGTTTCATGAGTTTTAAGAGTTAGCAGAACACAAAGGAGAATCATCTTACATTTAATGAAGGTAAGTTTTCAGTTTGAGGAATAGGCAGGAACTTACCACAAAAACTTCAGAATTACTGCAATTAATTAAAAGTACCTGATTATATGTATATTTACTGTTATTTATAGCACTTATGTTTTGCAATATTATAAATTTCAAGATTGGGTAGCTCACTTTAATTTATCCAAGTTTTTTGTTGCTGGTTGCTTGCTTGTGTGGAGTTTGGAATTCTTTGCATGCGTTAATAGAAAAAAAAAAAAAAAGAACTGAACTAAAAAAAAAAGTACTGAACTTCTATAAACCCAGTACAACCTCTGATACAGTGTCATAGCTGCAAGGTGGCATTTTCATCTCTGATGTGCTAGGAAATATTCCAACTGTACAATGAAAGATTACACAAATCCGTAAGGAGCATCCAGTCAGCGTGCCGGTGAGAGGTATTCAGCCGGTTGCTGAATTAGTTTCTGTTGGAATGTGTTCATGTGTAACATCCCACTGACTGGATGACATCACAACAGCTTCAGGTCCTTGAAAGTCTTCAGGATGATTAGCTGAAGGAATTGGCTGTTTCTGCCAATCATAACCCGGCAGAGCTGCCTTTATAGTTCTGGAGATATGAGAGAAGGAGAGGGAGGGAGGGAAAGACCGAGTCCAGCTAGGCACGATGCGCAGCATCAGGGGCGGCCGCGGAGCTGGAGCAGCTGGGATTCAGTGATTAAATACTTCTCATAGCCGTTTTGTTGTACCCAGTCGCTCCCTGGTGTAATTCTCCTGTCCAAGAAGGAAGCTGCATTTGAACGGTGTGCTGAGCAGAGGTTTGAATCATTCCAGCTGGCTGCTTGTTTTGAAAAGGACAACATGCGTATAAATAAAAAAGACTGCCCGCAGAGTTGAGGATCCAGCACCGGAGCTGCGTGCCCTCAGAATCCTGCTGTGGCAGATGGGCTGGACCGAAAGCTCCCCTCACTAACCAGGAGCCGAGTGAACCCTAATCCTGGACATCTCATTTTGCAACTCTGGCAAATTCAAGTTAGCAAAAGAAAAATAAAATTGAAATGCTTCTCTGGGTAAGTTACTGCTTAATTTGGTGCAATTGACAATAACTGGATATGTGTGGCTTAGCATCATAAACATAAACACACTAAAGTTTGATTTGTAAAAGATTTATATAGAAGCAGATGATATTTTAGAACCAAATTCAATCTCTCTTTCTGCCATGTGTGTATGTACCTGTCAGTATGGTTTGTAGAAGTTACATTTGCACTGTAAATTGAATGTACTGTCCTGCCATAAAAAAAAAAAAAAGACATAGAACTTCAAATATATTGGCAGCTGCTACAGTATTTGCACAAAAACACTTCACTTGATTACAGTTTTATTCTTTTCTTGCTGAAATCACCAATTTTGCAAACTCAGCCTTCAAAGCTAACTCTGGCTGGTGTTTTAAATGTTTCCAAAGAAGCATTACTCAGAAGGTGACATGCAGCTTATGCAAGATGAGGACTCTTCTTGGGACATGAGGTGTAGAGGTGTTCTCCTTGTTAATGGCATGCTTTAGAGAGACAGCTGTCATAGACATTTGAAACTGCATGATACAATCGTAGGCTGTTTATAATGAAGTTGATGGTTTCTACCTAGCTCTTACTAGTAAAGAAAATTTCTTACAATAATATATACCACATTCACAAGCCTAGATTCCAAAGAGGAGGCAGACAGCTCAGTACCATAACTTTGCATGTTTCTAAATTCTCCCTGCACAGGACAAGTTGGAAAATAAGAAGTGTCATTTAAACATGGTTTTAATCATTGTTTCCAATACTTGTGTCAGAAAAAAATTAAAATTTTTAATTAGTAAAACTTATTTTCCTTGTGATTTGTCTTAATTTATAAAAAGAATCTATTTTTCATTTCTGATCATAGTATTTATAAGTGGTCAATGTGGTTTCCTATGATGTGCTGTATTGTAAATCCCAAATTAGCTTTGAGAAAGTTTCAGCAGCGTCTCACGTCTGATTGGACTGGCCTGCTCTTGCATTCATTTCATTTTCTCTCAGAGAGTTTTTCATGGGCTCAGGATAAGAGGTGTTTTAAAATTAATTGTACACCAAGATATTCATGTATTTCTATGACTCAGATTTTAGCTGTACATTTTTTTGTCAGCTACATAGTTAAAATCCTGTATTTCTTGGTATAAGAGGAAATTGATAAAGAGAAAAGTTACTGTAATTAGTTCAATTTCCCCCAAACAAAGAGGTAGTAAATTTCTCCCCAAAGACTTTAATGGGTTTTTCCTTATCAAAATAACTGTTTTAATCCATTTTACTGGAACTATGCCAATTAGCTATATCCAGAAACCAAGGAGGTAATTCATATTTTTGTTTAACTTGTTCCTATGAAGTAAGTATATGTCAATAATATAAGGTCTACTGGCCAGAATTTCTATGTCTCCAACCAAAATTCCTAAAAAAAGATGAAGAAAAATATCCTTGCCACTTATGTTTATCTCAATTCAGAAAAGGAGTATAAATGGAGTACGGCTGCCACACTTTTAAAATAGAGACTACTCTGACAACTTAGGATAATCAATATTCTATAATATAGGCATTGATAGAAGACGGGGAAACTGAAGAGTAAGCATGAGAGCCTATTGTAAACCTATATGAATGGTTACTGGCCACCAGCAAGGTTGGCACACAGAAAACCTTGTAAGAAAACTGTAATATGTACTATTTATTAATTACAGTGTGAAAATCATTCTAAATGAAGAAAATCCAAATGAAAATCAGAGATTTTTTTTAAATAAATGAATGAGAATTCTGACTATAAATAAAAAAATGCCATAGTCTGAATTTTTATGTTTGAAAATCAAAATAGAAACACTTGTTTATATATAATACATGTATATACATTCACATGAAGAAACAAGTCTTTTTCTTTTTATGTGATATTAAAAATATTCTATTTTATACCTATTCTCTGTTAGTATACTGTAATTGTATTAAAAATAGCCAGGTCTCTTAATTAATCTCAACACTAGCATTAGTTATTTTTAATTTTAAATAAATATTTCTAATCCATAAAATATCTGTCTCCCAGAAGTTTAATATTTCTACAATTTCCTTACATTTTCTTTTTGAATGGAAAAAGAGACTTTGAGAATAAAATTCAAGATTATACTCTTATTTAGTAGCAACTATTCAGGGAAAGCAGTGTTTAGCATACTGTGTTCAAACTGGAAGGTTCTGTCTGATGCTGTCTCCCCAGGTTTGCAAAGCATCTGGGGAAACTTATAAATCAAAGCTGGAACATCAGCCCTGGCCACCCACCAAGGCTGAGGAGATACGCATCCAGAAGGCTAATTTTTTTCTGGGCTGAGATTCATTGATAATGCATTATGTTTTAAGTCTAACCTGTACCAATTGTGGATTATGTAAAAAGCATATACATCTTCAGAGTAGAGCAAAATTATCAAGTAACAAAGGCTTTTTATTTCCTTTATTAATGGTTTCTAGAATGAAATTGCACACACATATGCATATATATATATGTATATATATATATATATATATACATTTCAACAGAAACTTCTGTAATATGCAGTAGGTACTCAGAAGTAAAATGATGACAGAATGTATCATCTGAGCACCATCTAAGAGTGGCAGAAACATCGGAAGAGCTGCATATGGATTCGTGCAAATTCTGAGTTTGAACACTTCACTGAGGCAACCAGCCTAGGAAACCTTACTGTAAAAGTAAAGATACCAAATACTTTTAAGTATTGTGAATACAAAAGGGAAGGTAAACGCTCATTTATTATGAATCCAAATAGAAAAAGGGGATGTGTCTGTGGATTTATTTTAAGCTCACGAAGTGAGAGAAATGGGTCAGGTGTCAGACACAATTCTATTGCCTTCAGCCATATCATGGTAGCAGTTAACCAGCCTTCTTAACACTTCAGGAAACAGCTTTGTTGTTCCACAGGGTGTTAAGTCACTCTCCTTTTTACTTATTTTTACTAAGCCTCAGCAGTTAGAGCAGTTAATGGTAATATAGAACTTATGTAGATGTAGTCTATTTCAAAGCTTTCTTTATCTCAGTTTCTAAGGAATGCTATCATATTTTAGAGTTAACAAATGAAAGTTTTTCTTTGAAAAATAATTTTGAATTGATAATGGATTTTTCTTGAGCTCACAGTAGTCTGCTAATTAGTTTCAAACTCATAAAAGACTCAGAGATGTCAAGAAAAATAGACAGTTTTGAGATGTAAATACTAACTTACTCTAAATTTCTACCTGTAGAAAGTGTTGCAGATAATCCATGGTCCATTTATTTCCTTCATCTCATTTATGTTTGTCATATTCCTTAGTACCAAGATAATTATATCATGAAATATGTTATAACAAAGAAATAAATAACAAACTAATGGCATTTATGTGACACTGTGATGTGAATATATAGTATTTTAAAAATATTTTTCAAAATCATATGCTACTTTGTAATCAGTTAATGTATAATCATTATTAATTAGTTGAAACTAAAAAGAATCTGAGAAAACATGGAAAGTTAAAATGACCTATGGTGAAGGATGTCAGAACAAAGTTCCATAGACTCAGGGTATTTGTGAAACCAGATTGATAACATAATTAGGTTATGGATTTCAAATTTCTGTTCCAAAATCTAACTTTACTTTTCCATATTTTGGCCCACTATGGAGGTACAGGTCTTTAATCCCCCTCCCCAGCACTCAGAGGCAAAGGCAGATAGATCTCTGTGAGATTGAGGCCAGCCTGGTCTACACTGGGAGTTCCAAAGCAATTGGGGCTAGAGGGAGACTCTGTCTAAAAAATATAGTTTCAAGTATTTGGAAAGTTTAACAAAGAAAGCACCTTTGACCAAAGTAACAGACACAAGCACACACACTTCTGTTCCTCAATCAGGAGAGTTTTCCAAATTTGAGCATTTCATCATCGTATTAACTTCTCGATTATTTCTTCTATTTTCTTTTTCATCTCCTTTCTTGCAGTGCCGAGGGTCAAACCCTAAGGCTTTATACACTTATACACCGAGTACGTGGTCTACCGCTGAGCTATCTCTAGCCCTCATTAAAATTCTTTAGCAGTCCCCTGCTCTAAGCACGTAGAAGTTGAGTCAGGTTCCTTCCGGTTCAGGCAGAGAGACTGTGGAAATGCGCCTCCGTGATCCTTCGCTTCCTTCCGCTCCGCTCTTTCTGCCCAGCTCTCTTTTCCTCCTGTTCCCTTTCATTTGCACTGCTCTTTTCCTCAGCCACTTCTCTTCCATTTTCTCTCTTTCTCTGTCTCTCTACCCATTTTTGCCACAGTAGCATTAGTGCGCTCTTGCATAGATGGTGAGCAAGCCACCCATGTCTAGCATGGCAGCAATTATTTATATAAAGCCTGGAGTGAAAAAGAGCAAATAGAAGAAATGCATGGGGGAAATTGGCTAAAGCAATAAAAATGAAATAAAATAAGGTGGGAAGTTTGCCTCAGAGAAGGTATCCCACGAGATAACAGCTATCTCCCACTTGGGTTCAGAGGCGATCCAATTTCTTTAAATACTTTATGTAGAGCCCTTTGTTCTCCTGGCATATGCATCTTTTCACTGCATCAAATGCACTAGAGTTAAAAAATAATAATAGATGTAAATAACCCTTATGCTTGTAGTTTAAACCCTAATTAATCATTTTTATATTTAGTACTTTAAACATAGCAACATTTATATGCAGCCCAGAGGCCAAATGCCATGCTAATGGAAGAACTAGAGAGAAGGGAAGGATATTCTGCATATTTAGATAGTTTGGATGCAGTCCATGCCTGAATCAGAAATTCAGTAGTAGACTGCTGATCCACAGAATCTGTCATATTCCATCAGACATCTCTAAAGAGTTCTTTCTTGATGTACTGAATAGTCTTTCCCGCCTACATAAAAATCGTTTAAACCTCAGAAATAAATATAGCAACAGTAAAGATTAATACAAGGAGAGGAAACAGATGCAGCGATGCATATGCTCTTCAAACACATGGAAAAGCCCTAATTCTGTTCATTACTC